TTATCACATGCCTTGGTAGTCGAAGGAATAAGATGCCTGCCCGATAAGCAGGAAATCCAGGTTCGATTCCTGGCTGAGGTGTATTTTTTCGTAAAATAATTACGAGTTTTCACGACTGGTTCGTAGTCGAGCTCCGCCGTGACGCACACCCTCCCTTCTTATTTAGGGACTCTGCCCCATCATTTGCCACCGAAAAGATGGGCAGCTGAATTTAAACGTGGTCGTACCAGCTTGGCTGATGATGAGCGTTCGGGACGGCCAAAAACTGCGACCACCGCTGATAACATCGAAAATGTTCACCAAATGGTACTGGACGACCGTCGAATCAAGGTTAGAGAGATAGCAGAGGCTATGGGCATATCGAAAGAACGTGTTTGTCATATATTGACTGAAGAATTGGATATGCGCAAGCTATCCGCGCATTGGGTGCCGCGCTTGCTCACTTTGGACCAAAAACGAATTCGAATGAACATTTCCAAGGCCCTGTTGGAGCGGTTCAAGCGAAACGAGTCAGATTTTTTGCGTCGATTCATAACTGTAGATGAAACTTGGATCCACCACTCCAGAGACAAAAGAACAGTCAAAACAGTGGACTGCAAAGGGTGAACCTGCTCCGAAAAAGATAAAGACGGTTCCATCAGGTGGGAAGGTAATGGCGACTGTTTTTTGGGATAGTCACGGAAATTGTGTGTATCGACTATCTTGAAAAAGGTAAAACAATAACGGGAGCGTATTACGCATCATTACTTGATAAGCTGAAGGCAGAAATTGCAAAAAAATGGCCGCATTTGAAGAAGAAGAAAGTGCTATTCCATCAAGACAACGCACCTGCTCACACTTCGACGGTCGCCATGACCAAAATTCACCAACTGCACTTCGAATTGGTTGACCACCCACCGTATTCACCAGATCTGGCTCCCAGACTTTTTCCTGTTTCCTAAGCTTAAAGTTTCGCTTGGAAGACAGAGATTTTCATCGAACGAGGAGGTCATCGCATACATAAAACGTCTATTTTGCGGAGCAAGACGCCAACTACTATTTGGAGGGGTTAAAGAGGTTAGAGTATCGATAGGAAAAGTGTATCGACTTAAAAGAAGATTATGTTGAAAAATAAAATTATATTTGATCGAAAAAATACTTATTTCTATGTTAGGCTCAAAACTTTTCAGACTACCCTTGTATGATACGATCAGAAAAATATTAATTAATAATTCATCAATCAAATTATATAAAAACTTATTGTTCAAAAAGAAAAGTAAATATATTTCTACTTACATGTTTATACAGGTTTCTCTCTGCTTATACTCTATTTTCGCTTCTCTACACGATCAGAAACAAAATGCGCGGATCGCGCTTGGCACGCGTAGCCACGAATAGACGGAGCGTCTATGTGCGTAAGTGAAGGAGGGAAGTGTGTTAGTGTGTTCTGACTTGAATTCGCATCACTTGACTGTTGATTGTTTTTATTATTGCTAATTTATTATTGCCAGCGAGTCGTACGCGAAAGGCCGAGCCGAGAACACAAACGCTTTTTCTCCTCCACTTACGCACACTCTGTCTCTGTCGATGAGATAGTCACACGGATAGACATAGCGTTTTTGTGTGCATAAAATGTAGAGAGATAAAACTGTTTGTGTGTTTAGGCTCGAAATCACAGATATTTACTGATATTTATCACTGATATTTACTTATTATTTCGACAGCATGAGTTAAAACATGAGCAATGAGCTAAAAATGAGTAAAAGTAATTGAGGATTTTAAATATAGTCATGCAATAATAATATTACATATGATAAATACGTTTTAATTAAATTTGTTACGTTGTTACGTTTTCAATTTGCTGACGAGTCGAATCGAATATAAAAGAAATAGTGAGAGAGAAATAGCATGAAATAAAAAGAAACAGAACTAGGATCGAATCGAGTCGAATCAACAAATTGAAAACGCTATTGATCTTTATCAGTTATATAGGGATAGAATTACAATTCAATTTGTATATTCACATATTCAATTATATTTATATTTGCATTTGTTACGTCCAGCCCAAAGAAA